TGTGTATTTTGTACAGCCGATGTACCTGTCTGCCTACCAGGGTGACAGCAAGCCTCATTCTGACTACACTATTTGTATGCTAAGCAAGCAGTTAAAATAACCCAACAGTGCAGCCAGTATAATTATCCTTTATCTCACATGAGTTCAAAAGGCAGGCTTTCCTACTGCCGCTCTGTTTTCATAGCTGTCTGCTCCAGAACCATTTCAGCTGTGGTGTTTTTGGTGGAAAATTAAAGAGGGAATGACTGTCATAGCTTCCTAATGACAACTTGAGGTTATTTTATATGCTAAGTCATTCATATCTGTTACAATTTAAAAGCATACTGACATCATATACATAATAATCATACAGGACTGCCTGCATGTTTGCAAATAAATGTTAGAATTCATGGCAATCTTTTTTTTCTCCTGCCAAAGATGATTAAATGATCCAGGTCCATTTTCTTCAAGCACTTTCTCTGTAAATAGAAATGTCTCTGTATGTATCTGTTAATTGCTAACAGAGTCCACAGACAACTGTATATTGCAAGTTTTTGTTTATTATTTATTTACCAATTACAATTGAAGAATTATAAAAATAAATAATCATTATGGGAAATTATTTTCTATCAACTGTACATCTATTTGCAAATAATAAGTAGCATTTCAGCTGTGCCTAGGGTCCCCTTGTAAAGAACAGCATTGAACTATTACAAATTCAGGTAAAGAATATATCTTTTCTTGGTACCACTTAGTGTGTAAGTATTGCCTAGTTATCTTTTTCGGTCATGGTGCTGTGGCTTTTTGGCTTCTTGATACTCTACAAAGGATATGTGTTACAGTTCAACAGCTTTGTATTGCTATAGCCTACTTTATTAGCTCATGAAGACTGAAACCAAGCGATTTCTTTTCATTATATATGCAGCTAATGTTCAGTAAACTGAAAAGTGAAACAAATATGCTAAAACATGCTTGTATCATCTTACTACTTTGATTATATCTCTGTACATGACTGTATCCTCATGTGACTCTGATACAGGGTGTATTTCCTCTTTAACTTATGTTAATGTATATGTTGCCAGCTAAATGGAAGACCTATTGGTTTGTGGGTTGTTTGTTTAAAAAGAAACCCATCACAACCAACAGAAATTTTATCAATTTAAACCACTCTGAGGGCTTCAAAAAAGCTAATCTGTAACATGAAGTACCTGTATATGCAATTCTGAATCAGTTTTAGGAAAGGAAGTTTGTGCATCAATTAACTGCTAGAGTTCATGAAGTTGCATATCATGTAAGATTAGTCTACAATATACCTGAAATACCTGAAAGTCCAACAAGCTTTGTATTTTAAATCAAGCCAGAGTCCTGTGGCACACAATGCCAGATGTACCTGGTTGCATGAAGGTGACAAAGCAAAATCCACCAGTCCCATAGGCATTTGACTTTAGACAAAAGTGTCAACCTGCATCTCTTGGAAACAAGTCACATCAGAAAAAAAAAAAAAAAAAAAAGTAGTTCATCACATTCTTAAAAGCCTAATTTAAAAATCACACTTAAACAGACATCCTAGCATTTACTTTTATGTAAATGTACTTATGTTGTTTGTGTACTTATGGTGTTTGATGAAACATTTATTCCCTTTCCGTGACTGATTGTGTCATGTCTTGCTGTATCAGATAACAGTGCTATTCACAGCAATGGGGGCTTCATGCTGTGTGCCTTTCCAAGTGAATAGCAGTGGACACCCACGATGAAACAGCAGTTTACTTCCCAGTTTGTATGCAATATTCCACTAGCAGAGTAGGCATTCTCGGAATGATTTCAGCAAACAAAAGGCACAGTCAGAGTTGTATTTGCAGAAGAATGGGGCATGCAATCCTCAGTTACTAGCAGGTGAAATATGGCTCCCTTAATCAAAGCAATCCACTGCACATTTATTTAAAATCTGACATACAATTTAAATCTATGTGTCTAATGCTTCTGATTACAGTGCTATTCAGAGTATTTGGGTTTCAAGGTGGCTGCAGTTGAAAGGGAAGTATTTCTTTTCCACTTCCCGCGAAGCAGTGGTCCCATGGATGTACTTCAGCCTACTAGAAAACAGGCACTATTTATCTGAAACAACTCAAGATAAAATACAGACAGTTGGCATCACATGTCACATCTTTTCAGGCACAATATGTTTGAAAGAGAATAGGCCAAATTCCTTCCCAGCATAGCTCCATAGAAACCGGTTGGTTTGGTTCAGCAGGTAGCCAAATATAAACATTGTCATAGAAAAGATTCATTTGGAATCAAACATGGAAAAGTTTTGAGTTGGGATGATATCTGAAAATATTTGCTCAGTGGAATTAAGACATCTGAAATACTTGGCTAGATTCACCTTAGAGTTTATATTAGTATTAATGTAAACTTCATGGTGGATCAGAGCCATAGGTAGCCACAGGGCCATGCAAGCAACACAGAAGAAAAGTGACCAAAGTCCGCTTTGCTTCAGGGAGTTGTCTGCAAATGACACCCAAAGTGGGACATGCTCACTGGGAAGATGAAGTGACTGTATGCTGAGCAATGACCTCAATATTGCCATTCCTTCAGGAGAAGCTACCTTTTTGAACACACATGAAATTCAAGTGGGAATTAAAGTTGCAGAAATCAAAGTCCTTTCTCCACCAGCTTCCATCTACTAATAATTCCTCACTGAAAACAGGTTTTTTTAAGGGTCTGAGGTTTCTTTTTTCTCCAGTTCGTAGTTGAATGATGCAATGGAAGAAGACACCCTAGGGTGTTGCCACATTCAAGAGGTGACTTCAAGGCCAGCAGCACTCCCTGCATGCAACACTATCTTGCAGTATTGTCTCATACTATTGTTCTCTGTTGCTTAAATATTTAGAGAGGTCCATTATGCTTTGTCATTGCACTTCAGCCCTTTGGAGAGTATAGAAGACAGATCTGTAGTGCTGACCGGAACAGTTCAGCACTTGACAAGGAGTTGAAAATATTTCCCCCATGATTTGTCCAGTCCAAGACATTTAGCAGGACATACCAAATGCCTCTCACACTTTCAGTAAATCATTCAGTGATATCTCCCACAACATATGATTTGTTTGGATTCAAGGCTTCTTCAAACTGCATTTTAAGAAGAATGACAAGACTGAATTCATGGAAACATATCCTAATTTTTAGACCAATATAAACCACTAGGAGCTCTGTTAAAGGCAGAACTGCTAAAAGTCAAGATCAGGTCTCTGTGGTTCTTGGCATAGGGGAAGCTGCTTGAGTTTGGTTCCCATTAGTTATTTAGAACTTTTAGTATTTTTTGTTGCTTCTGTTACTTCATTCAACTAATTGCCAGGATCTTGAAGAATTTTGTTCCATGGAGACAAATGCTGTATTATTTTTTCCAAGCACTGTTAAATCAGCAGGAGTTACTTATATGCACTGTTATAACAACAGTTGAAGTAATATAATATTATGTGTTTATCCCTCAATTAAAAATATGTCAGTGGCCAAACTATGTCAAAATAATACTGTGATTCTTCAGTTGCCAATGAAAAGTAATCATACACTCCAATTTATTTGAGAATTGTTCACGAACACACTCACAGGTCCTACTTATTAAATACTACCTTCTTTTTGGCTGCAAAGAAAAGTAGAAACACATTCCACATTAGTGCCCATTTTAAGCGCTTTCTTGGCATAAGTATTTTCTATTTCTATACTCAAGGACAGCAACAATCTCTGTGATAGCAAAAGCATAACAAGTTGTAAAAATGACCTTTCAGCATCATGAGTAAGGGCATGCAAGCTATGACACAGAGACCAGTAGCCATATGTTTGTTACCTTTGACTTTAGGTTGCTTGGCAGAGATGCGTCAAGTGTCTCATTCAGTTCTTCACTGCTGTGCAAACATCTGTGCTAAAATCTAAACTTCCTTTACAAAAAAATTTAACAGAAAACAGCATTCTCTTAAAGCAGGGCTGAAATCTCTGAGATCTGTCATAGGAATAGACTTTTCTCTACAGTTCAGAGTAACCCCTGAGTCATGTGGCAGATGGATTCAATTAGCCTCAATTAAAATACGAACATTGGGATGGTTTGGCAGAGAGATATTGCTGCAAGGATGGGAAGAGGGTCGTCAATTAGAAAGTGTAGTAGTAAACCCTAGTGTGAAATCTCACAATACTGAAATGAATGTCTTGCAATTGAAATTAACTATCATGAAAGAGATTTTGTATGTTGTACTAGAAGGGAAGTTGGAGGACCCTCCCCAGCTGCAAGGACTATCAGGTAATTAATGATTCAAAAAAAAATAAAATACAAATTTCTTTTACATTTTCTTGTGCTTCCTCAGAGATTATCCAAACTTTTATCATACCAACAATTAAAGACACAAGCAGATAAATGAAGGCTAATTCCTTAAAAGTGTTGTAGGACAACCATCAAATCCCAGTTTGATTCTCTGGCAAAAGGAATTTCTGCTTACAAAACACAGGAGCTTCTATCTTTCTATATGCAAGGACATACTCTAGAGAACTACTGGAATACAAAAATTAATAACCATATTGAAAAAAAAAAAAGAGTGGTTTTTTTTTGTGATATCTGATGTTTGCAGTAACAGAAGCATCTAAAAACTTGTGCTTCCAATGTATTTCTTGATTTTGTAAGTATAGACCTGTTTTTCAGAGATTATTTTTACAATGAAATATGAATTTTTAAATAGAAATATCACTTAACTTGAAATAGCAATGCCTTATCTGCAAAATGAGATAATAGTTTTATTAGATAACCTGAAGACTGTGGAAATGCAGTAGCAACACTTGCACGTATCTTGCTTACCTTCTGCTTTTTTAAACTCCCGGTTTCTAGTTACACCCCTCAGTTTAAATACAGTAATTTTAAATGAAAAAGAAAAAAAGGGGGGGAGATGTACTGCCTGCAATTCAACCCCTACTTCACAACACACAGACACACAGACACGTGGATACACACACACGCACACGCACACACACACCCCAGCACATTTGTTTTCATCCTATAAGTACTTTATTACAGGTAGCATGATCTAGGTCTTGATAGGGCACTGTTTCCCTACAACCAGGCAGGTGTTAAAGCTCCTTTCATCATCTTAATGACACATAAACATCTCTAGGATCATCAGTGAGAACACCTACCTCACAACAGAGAGACGTCCCAATTATTTTGCAAGTGTAGTCCCTATTTCTGCCCATTTTGTCCTTATGGATCCAGAGCATGGCACTTTCTCCATCACTTAATCATTGATTCTCTTCTTCCATGCTCCTCCCCAGTATCTATCTAGTAAGGTATCAAGGAAGAAGACAGACTCAGTCCCATCAGTTCCTAGCTACTCAGCACAAGCAGAATCATAGAATCATAGAATAGCTAGTTTTGGAAGGGATCTTAAAGATCATCTAGTTCAAGTAGTTCAGTAATTTAGCAGACACACAGGCACAGTTGGCTCTGGGGACAGGTATCTTCCACTTACAGAGTCCCCTTAGGAGCTAGCTGTATCTCTACTATTGCAAAAGAAAACTGCATTTGTGTGACTGGGGTGAAGGGCTGGTCAGACCACCATCAGTGCAGTGGAGAAGGCCTGAACTGTACACTAAGAGACTATAAGGGACTTTAAGTGCTTGATAAGGTCTGTTGAATTTGAGCTGACAAAATACATTCCTTTACAACTCCTCTACCTCAGGCTGGTGCACTCATAATTTTCTGAAACAGTTGTTTACACTAAAGTTTTCCATGCTTTGTCTTTCTCCAAAGGCAAATTTCATTGTCAGGTTTTAGCAGAAACCCTGCTGGTGCTGCTTGGGTGGGCATTTGTAGAGGAGAAGGATCTTTTTTAAACATCTGAATTTTATCATGCAGTCAGAACAAAAGTGGCTGAAGTCTCATACTTGGAAAGAATGAAAGTTTTTGCTAATACCAAGCACAGCTGAGCTTTGCAGGGCAATATGAAGTATATATTGCTTTAACCTGTTTGGTTAAGGTCAAGAATGAAGTGACTCAATGTCCTGGCTGGTTACAGAAATGCTGTTCCTCCATACAAAACTCATTTGAATATTGAGCTATGGTTCAGCATTGCTGATTTCAACATGTAATGGATCAACCCCACAATTTAAAAGCAACCTCAATTGTCCAAAGAAGTTGCAAGCCCTCCTGGCAGAGTTGTGCAAGACCAGAGGCTTGGTTTGTTTTGTTTTGTTTAACGGGGTTGTAACCTTGCCAAGCAAAGAGGCAGACTGCACATCAGTAAGGACAACTTATTTCCAATTTTAGTGCTCTGCTGAGATAACAATCTTCAAGAGCAGATCTTTAAGTCTTTTTTAAAATTGCTTTTGGTAACATGTCTCTTTGGGGTGTCCAATTGCAGCAAAGCTCACATTTCCACTATGTACTCTCAGATAAATCAGGAATTTTACTTGAGGCTTGCTCTGCAACCTTGGAAAAGTAGTTTCACCTTTTTGCCTACCTCTTAGAGGACAAGAATTAGCAATTACTAACAACAAATACTATGTGAAGAAATTACTGGTGTTATTATAGAAATATGGAACTATGCTAGTTACTACAAATACTCATTTTACTATTATCGTTATTGTTATTGAATTAGTAGTTGTAGAAAAGATCTGTAATGTAAGAGGATATGTAGGACTGGAAAGAATAATCTGTTTGACTGAAAAGGAAGACAAAGTTGTTAAGACAATTAAGAATCCTCCTTGTGGTCCAGTCCAAGAAAAATATTGAACAAATTTATATTGGTGGTAATATAGGGATCTTCCTAGTAGCAAAATTGGAGGTAATATTGCTATCATTTCTCATTATTCTTGTTATCTACTACTGCATAGGTAGCAGTCCAGAAGTGCCCTGAGTCAGTTTGTACCCAAAGCGAACATCAGCATCCTTCTTGAAAGCATTCCAGATGTAACCAGGGTTGTAAAACAAAACAGAAAGTTGACGGTTTTACTGTGATGCACGTTACAATCAAGTAGTTATCTGACGGATCATCTGCTTTTAATGATCCATGATGAAAAATATAGCTGTCACATGAGGGATATATTTCTCATCATAAAACTTACCTCTGTAATTTCAGCACCTGAGTAAGTGCTGCCTCAGGTGCTGATTGTGCTAGTAAATACTGTCTGAAGAGTGATTTCCCCATCTGTTTCTCCTCCTTCCATCTAAATGCACAGTTTGGCAACAAGTGCGTCTCTACAGTTCCTTTCCCTTCAGCAGCTGCTGCTATTAAGGATCTTAAAGGAGGAGATTCCTGTTGGGTATCTGGTGATGCAGCAGTTCACCTGGGGAAAGAAAAGTCTTTGCAAGATGTGTATGTCAGTGTTTACATAGGTAGCTCGTGAAGCAAACTTTCACGGGGAAGTTAACTCTCTGGTGAAGCAAACCGCTTCAAATCACTGCTGCCATTGGAAGGGGATGAATTCATGTAAGCCATTTAACTCAGGCTGCCACTGTAATTAGTGAAAGAAAAGCTCCTAGTTTATGTAGATTTTGTACCTCTTCATTGGCTAGGCTTTTAACTTGGCATCTGGGTTAGATGTCTAAACTTACAGCTTTCATCCCCCTTGTGCCATATTTATGTACAGCATTTTCTTGATGGGAGAAAACAAGATACACACTGAGGGCTTAGATCAAAACATTAGGTCCCCAGAAAGCTGCAATGGTTTCACCGCTATCCGTAAGATTTCTGGTATAAATTGCATGGATGTTAAAAGCAAGGAAACCTCTTTGTCTAACGTGATGATTGAACCGCAGGAACAAATTTTCCTCTCAGATTTTTGTTGCAGACCCCCTATGTTAGGGAGAGGTTATACGTTTCAGCGTGCTGACAGACACTATTACATACTGTGCTTTATTCACCCCTGTTCCGCTGGCCTCCAATAGCCCTGTGCGCCTCTGAATCCCTCTGCCTTTGGCACTTCTGCTGGTGAGACTCCCAGCTGGGGGTGTGGTTTAGTTTAAATGGGTGCTTTTCACCAAAAGAATAAATTATTCCAATACTACTGTCTGAAAAGGGTGGATCTGGAGCCAATTTAGTGAGCATAAGTTACAATTGACTTTGGAAGTCATAACTTATGCTTTGAGCTTCCTCAGATGTATAGCCAAGGAGCTGTCTGACTGCATGTGGTTTTACACATCTTTCAGCTAAATTAGAAATCCAAGTGCAAAACTTAATGTGTGGAGATATCTGGAGATTTGTGACCTTCCCAGAAAGATTTTGGGCCCATAAACCAGCCAGAGGGTCTCCTGGTTTCATATACCCTTTTTTTTTTTTTTCTCACCACATATGGCACATTGATAAAGAGCAAATGGAGTTTATTATATCTTAATTAATGAATCTGAGTATAATTTGCCTCAGTCCTGGCAATCAAACTCTGCTGGAAAGCTGGTTAGTGGAGGGAGCCAACTTAACCAAACATCCTCTCCAGAGATGTGACTAAAGACTGAAGTATATATGTATTGATACATGTGAAAGGTGGGAAAGACTTGGGAAAGCAAAAGACAGGGATTGCACTGAGCTGGGGAAGGCCAGGGATGGAGCCTTTAAGAAGATAGGGAGGAAGTTAATGGTGAAAACGGAAAAAAATGTAGTAGAAAAACAACAGAGAGAAGATAAAAAGAATTATAAATTGGACATATTAAGAATGTCCAAGGTCACTTGCTCCAAGAACGAACTAAGCAGGGTATGCATCCTATCTTATCTGTTGATGCTGAGAAAAAAGAGCTTAAACTAAACCCTGAAGTCAACTAGAGGGAATCTGCATATAAGTTTAGTGGTCTTTACTCCAAGCTAGTGGACAGAGGACTAAATCACTCAGATATGTAAAGAGCAGGAATAATGACAGATGCAGACAGTTAATTTCTTCCAACTGCCAAATTTGTAAGTTTAGCCTGGTGGGATGCTACCAACAGTGATAATGAACATTACAAAGTTTGTCTGTATTTAACCCACTCCGTCACTGCTTGGCCAGGGTCCTGTGGATTTCAGTGGGGAGTTTACATGAGAACATGCAAGTCCCTCCTTCCCAGAAAGGGGTATTCCCAGCCAAAATACTTTGTTAGATATCTTGAGCAGGTGTCTTGAACTGCTGGTGCACTTTCAGTACACCAGTTAGCACCTCTGATGTGGTAAATGAAACAATTTTGATCTTGAATATAGAAAAATGAAGCACTTAGACTGGTGGGAAGAACAGCTTTATCTCAGAGAGGTGCTGAAGTTTGCATGAAAATACATAACTTAGGGCACACACTCCAGCAAAAATTACTCAATGAGAACAAGAACCATCTCTAAAAGTGCTTTTAATATGTGGATTTGAATGTGTTAAACATTATGTATGTTGCTGCACTGATTTTTCTTTTTATGTAGACAGGCACGAGTCTCCCCAACACTGTGCTTTGTCTAATTCATACCCATGCAAAACACAGATCAAGTAGGAATGAATGAGTTGCTTGCACCTTTTGGTTAGGTACTTGAATAACTATTCTGGATGTAAAGCAGCTGGAAACAATGCTATTTTTACCCAATATTTGCATGTCTACTAACATGAAGGATCACACATTTCACACATTTCCTACACAATAATAATTGCAGAAGGCAATGTCCCGTTACTCATGTAGCTGGTCATTTTTGTATGCAATTACCAGAACTGTGTGCTCAATTCCAGTAACCATGCGCACAAAAATAGGCTGCAACAGTCTGCTTAGGATTGTTAATAACATGGTCCAAAGTCTCAGTCTTTATTTCTGTATTTTTTTATGCTGGTTTTGTAAGAGAACTGAGCTGGGAATGAGTTTGGTTGTTGACTACTTGAGCAAAAGCAAGCACACATCTACAGGTACTGCTGGGGCTGCAGAACTGTGGAATTCTGCATTCACCTGCATATGGTTCAAATACTGAACTTGGTATGATGAGCTTATGGATCAGAAGAGAGATACTGCATCCAGTGACCAGCTGTAGTGCAAGTCTCAAATAAAACAAGCAGCTTCTGAAATTTTGCATTTAAAATACACACATCTGGAGCTAGCAGTGTCATCATGAGGCATAAGTCTTTGCCGTAAGCAATTCAAAATCAGACTGCAGTAGTTCAGAGAAGACTTAATTGGCATTTCTCTTTTTTGCATATCACTGTTCTCATCAGTTCTAATACATGGGTTTTTTCCCACCTCTACAAACTTCTTTGCCTTAAAGGACTCATGAAGGAAATAATTAAAAAGTACACAGAGGAAAACTGTCTGAGCAGAAGGGGCAGAAATCCAAGGTGGTTTAGGGAGGTGCCCCAAACACTCTTTTGGATGATTATTAATTTTTTTCTTACTATTATTTTATGATGCTGTTCATGTTTAATTACTCATGTTTTCCTAACCTGTGTGACAGGCATAATTTGAAGAGCAATAGTAATGATCAAGCCATGGAAGTGCCAGGTGCTGCCTACGTGCTGAAGCAAGCATAGAGCAGACACTGTCAGGAGACAGTGCTGTTTCTTGATTAGATCTGAACTTCTTTTTATGTTGATGAAAATGAACCTGACTGTTATTATTTAAATATAAACGATGCCAAAAGATGCTATGAAAAGTCAGAGCTCTATCAGTTTACTTCCTGTATGAAAGAGTAAGTTCATGGGACTTCACTGTAGTATATGCTGTTATAATATATACCAGGTTACTTTAAAAAGATACAATTAGTTTATTTGGGTCTTTATTAGTGTAAACTGCCAGACAGTCCATCTAGGTTAATATAGTTTTTATATATATATACAGTGAACAATTTTAGTCTTTATATTTTCAAATCAAACCTCAAGACCACAGAAATTACCAGTTACGCCATATACCACGTGCTAGTGTATTTGAAGCTCATTTAGAAGCTGTAGTATCATTTTGGTTTGGGGTTTTCTGGTTACAATAGCTTTTGGTTGTTTCATGCTTCCGTTGTGTGCTAGTGAAGTGAGATATTGTGGGTAGCACTGTTGAACAGATAATAGTACCTCATCAGAATGTGAAGCCTTTTCTTGTATTTTTTCTAATAGTAAATGGAAATTTAATTATGAATTTGTGGATACCTTGGCCAAAGTTTATAAAGTGTTGTGCAGCTGTGGTAAGTTTCAATGCTTTTATATTTAATTTAAAAAATAATTTGTGGGATGATGCGCTCCTAAAAAGTTTTGATGAAGTCTCATGTTTTTTGGAATGAAAATGAAATTGGGTGAAAGGAAAGCATTCTGCTTTCTGTAGGCTGCAGTACCAGTGCACTGCAGGTTCCTTCCTCGGAAATGAGAGAGTGAATCCCTGCCTAAACAACAGTAAAGTGAAATAAATTTCTGTTTGCTCTGTATTGCCAACCTTTGTAGTCCTGTAATTAATATTACATTATCCTTTTTTGTTAGCTTGTTTTCATAAAACAGAAAGTGCTGGGATCCTGTGATTACAACGACTCTCAACTCTTTGACATGTTAAATTTTTGCTCTGACTTCTTATATGTACAGAAAACCTTTGAAAATATGAAAATTAACTCTTTAGAGCACAGAAGACAAAACTATATACTATAAGTACTATTACTCCCAAGTCAATAATAGGGGGCTGGAGGGGAAAAGTTGAGCAAACTAGAAGTTTCTTAGGATTACTACAGTGAGTATTTGACTTTTATGTGAAAGAAGTTATAAAAGAAAATCCAGGGGTAGAAATAGAAGTGAAACTTCAGAAAAACAAACAATATGTAGTTAAATAAGTCACTTGCTGCATTAGGGTGCTATATGTCCATTCATCCTTGGACCAGTTTGCTGCTGGTGGGCTGCTCACTACAAATCAACATCAAGGACCTATTCAGGGCAAATTATGCTAGATTATTGATGTGACTGCTTTGCCTGTTTTATCTGTATAGTAAGCTATATATCAGAGGGAAACTGGGGGATACAGCCTAGGCTCTCTTCTTGCTTCTCCCTCTGATTCCTGCTGTTGGTCAAGTCCCTAAATCATCTTGCCTCACTTTGCTTTGTAAAATGGGGATGACATTGCATTCTTGCCATTGTGATTTTATTGCTATTTCTTAATGATATAAAATCTGTGTCCTTCTCCTCTGGTGGTCCTTCATAGTCACTGCAGTGCTGCTGTAAAGCAGTTCTGTTTTGTCTAAATGGTATTACATCTAGTTGAAGTCTTGCTCAGGTTACAAGTGAAATGAAGCTGCCAAGATGTTTATCTAGGCTTCTTCAGCTGCTTTTTAGATTCTCAGTAGATACACAATGACTCTGTCATTCATGGCTTTATGTGTTCTTACTTATTGCCTGATACGTTGGAATACATCAAACAAAGTAAACCAAGTTGTAACGTTTATTGGTGACCAGCAGTGGAAAAGAGATGCAAGCTGTAGATGAATTCTAACAGAATATTCCAGGAGCTGATATTTGACTTTGATAGATTTTCAGAGAAAGGGCTGCCATTTCTGTGTTTGTGCAATGTGTGATGAGACCCTTACCTGGCGTCTCTACCCTGCCATAACACAAACGAAAAACAGGATTGCTTGTCTGAGGAACAGCTCTGTCTTCCATATCAAAACTTGGCAATAGATGATTTCTGTGTAAATGGTCTCAAGAGACACTTTCCTTGTAAAGAACTCAAGTGATGGATGAGGCATCTCGCATTTTAAATGTTACACAGGTGAAAGCATTGGAGTATTCTGAGCCCATGCCTGCTGCTGTGTATGTCTGAGTAGTTTGCTTGCTTTTTAATTGTGGAACTAAAGGAGGTTGGTAAGTAGGGCAAGACCATTAGAAAATGCTAGCTTCTATAATGTTCTTTCATATTTGTTTCCTTTTATATATAGAAGGAAATATATATATATATTTCATAATGTTTCCTTCTGTAATGTTCTTTCATATTTGACTGCTGCAGGGTGAAATAATGAAAAATTTTCTGGTAACAGATCAAAAATTCCTTTCTTGTTTAACTGAAAGTGTTTAAGAGAAGAAGGTCATTGAGAGGACAGATTTCAAGAAGTGGTATTTGCATTTGGTGATGCTTTGGAAAGAAACAGAGCATATTATGCACGCTTTTTAAGTATATATGACAAACGCACTGCCAAATCTGTGGAATTTTATAGGCAGCTACTGTGAGCAGTAACAGCAGTAAATGAATCTGCTTTTTTCCCTTACTAAAACTGGCACTTACAGTGCTTTAGGAGATCTTTTTTCTTTTCTAAAACTTATTTCAACATAGTTTCAGCCCTATCAGCAAACCTCTTCTGGGTTAGTGGTAATATAAATCGTCTCCCAAA